AGAGAGAGAGAGAGAGAGAGAGAGAGAATGATCGAGTGAGTGAGTGAGTGATCGAGTGAATGAGTGAGTGTATGGCATCCTTCAGTCCCAGGAGGCTATGGACCTGCGCCGTAGGAGATTTCTCGAGAGCAGCACTTGCTGTGGCTGAACAGGCCCTCACGAGAATGACAGTCCCTGGTGCAGTGGCTGCACTTGTAAGTTTCGTCTTCCTGCATTGGTAGCCTCTGGCTGTTCTTTCGGCGACGGCGTTTGTCCTCAGCAGCCTGTCGCAGTCGGGCTTCACCTCTGATGAGACCAGCTCGCAGCGCCTGTTTCCATTTGTAGCCATCGCACACCAGTGTCTCCCACCTCCTTGTGTTCATATCGAGCGATTTCATATCTCGCTTGCACAAATCTTTGAAGCGAAAATGGGGCACCCTTGCACTCGCTTTCCGGAGGCCAGCTCACCATACAATAAGTCCTTTGAGATTCTTCCATCCGGCATGTGGTACACGCGACCAAGCCAGCGGAGTCGGCGCTGCCGGAGTGTGGTAAACAGACTTGGGATCTGCGCACGGGTGATAACTTCGACGTTGGTGACTTTGTCGCTCCATTGTATAGCAAGGATGCGCCTTAGGCTGCGCTTATGGAATGCGTTGAGCTTTCTTTCCTGTCTGCGGTACAGGGTCCAGGTCTCGCTTCCATACAGCTAGGTGCTGAGGACGCAGACCCTGTAGATGGCTACCTTGGTCCGAATCGTTAGCTTGTTGTTTTCCCAGGCTCTCTTTCTTAGTCTGGCGAATGTCGTGGCTGCACGCCCGATTCGTTTGTTGATCACAGCATCCAAAGACAGGCTGTCTGTCACAGTTGAGCCAAGGTAGGTGATACCACCTCCAGCTCGTAGTTGTTGACCGTTATTGCTGGAGGCTGCTCTTCGCCCTGGCCCATCACGTTTGTCATCCTCAGGCTAATAAAGAGGTTGAAGTATTGACATGCTCGAGAAAAGCCGTCCATAAGGCTCTGCAGCTGTTCTTCTGCATTCTGACTGACCTGCAAGTGCTGCATCGTCTGCAAACAGCATAATTTCTCTAATAAGGACTTTATGGATCTTAGTTTTTGCTTTCAGACGGAAGAGGCTGTACAACTTCCCATCCGACCTGGTGTGAAGATATACTCCATCGGTTGACGCTCCGAAGGCATGTTTCAGCATGACTGCAACGAAGATGCCGATTAGGGTAGGGGCTAGTACGCAGCCTTGTTTTACATCATTCTGGATGTTAAATGCCTGAGAGAAAGAGCCGTCAAACTGAACGTCTGTGTGGAAAGACTGGATGATACTGACGAGCTTCGGTGGACACTCAATCTTTGTGAGGATTCGGAACAGGCCCTCCCGGCTTGTGAGGTCGATGAAGGCAAGGTAGAGCGGTCGTCCCTGTTCTCTGCACTTCTCTTGTAGCTGTCGTAGGGAGAAAATCATATCAGTCGTTGAGTGCAGAGCCCTGAAGGCACACTGTGAATCAGGATATACCCTGTCAGCAAGTTTCTGTAACCTGTTCAGGATGACTCGTGCGAAGACCTTTCCCACAATGCTAAGCAGAGAAATCCCACGATAATTCTTGCAGTCGCTCCTATCCCCTTTGTTTTTATATAGGGCGACAATATTGCAGTCTCTCATGTCCTGTGGAACCACTCTCTGGCTAGACGCAGTAGTTCATGCATCTTTTTTGGCTGAAGCCTGATCTTGCAGCAGACCAGGGAGTGGTCGGTACATGTATCGCAATCTGTGCTCTGGTAAGAACGTGCGAAGAGCACATTCCTGAGGTGACAGCGTCTGGTGATGATCAGGTCGAGCTGGTGCCAGTGTTTGGATCGGGGGTGTCTCCAAGAGACTTTGTGCTCAGTTTTCGTCTGGGAGTAAGAGTTCGTAACGCATACGCCATGCAGGGCGCACAACTCAAGCAGTCGTTGCCCATTTTCATTTATACTTCCTCCTTCATGAAGTCCAAGGCGGTGGGGCCAGGAATCAGAGTCAGCGCCCACCGGCCACCCTGGCGTTAAAGTCACCAAGCAGTATGAGTTGCTCATGGCTGGGGATTTTTGGTACGACTGTCTGAAGCTGGTCATAGAAATCATCCTTTGCATCAGGGGAGGAGGAGAGGAAGGGGGCATACACGCTAATGAGGTTGACAGTCCCAACAGTTGTAAGGAGTCGTAAAGAAAGAATCCTCTCTGACCCCTCTTCGACTAGCTGTATCAAAATCAGCTGCGAGTTTCTCACAGCAATATCACGCGGTACTCCCTAGTTTCGTCTCGCCTCTTTCCCTGCCAGTAAAAGGTATAATCTCTCCCCCGTTGGGTACCCGATTCTGCCAGACAAGTCTCCTGAAGAGCAGCAATATCCACTCGCAGTCAGAGTAGTTAATTGTTGATGACTGCAGTTTTGCGTGTATCACTCAGATCCCGAAGGTAACTTGAGAGTGCAGTAGTAATAGTCCGGACGTTCCATGATCCAAAAATCAGCAGCGGTTTCTTTTTCTTCTTTCTTTTGTCTGGTGCTAGATTTACCGACCGCTGATCAGGCTCTTAGACCCCTAAGCTCCACGCATCTTGTGAGGCAAGCGGCCTGTGGCGTGACAGCACCTTACTGGCTAGGGGCTGCCCAGCTCGAGGCGGGCGGTAGCTGTCCAGTGAAACACGATGGTTTCTCCCTCCGACGCAAGGAGGTTACAGTTTTTGTCTCAAGCTCCTTGCACCGACGGAAACAACCCCTGCCTCCATGCTACACGAGAGTCGAGTTAGGCTTATAACCGGTGACTGCTGTTTCCTGAGTTTTGCCGTCGCGGTGAGGCGACGCTGGAGTGTCCTCTCCAGGGAGCAGGCCAGGGCAGAAATGTATGGAGGACCAACTGTTGCCCTGGCAGCAGATCCCCCTCAATACGCCACCGATGGGTCCAGCGCAACGACAAACGTTAATACAGGCTAGCATCAGTGGCGTCGTAGGAGTTGCCGGAACGAGGCTGTGTACAGCAGCGGACCGCCTTAGAGATTCCGACTCCTGGTCTTTCCTCAGGGTTTACTTCCGAAGCCTTTCCCAGTAGCGGGTGTGGCCGCAAGGAAGCGGAGGTTTGAAGTTAGACTTTTCCTTCTCCTAGGTAGGCAGCCGACCAGGACTGACGAGCTCCACCTGCCCGAAGCATCTGGTTTTAGGGCGCCAGAGACCCGCCTTCGCTCCTTCTCCTGTCACTAAAAACAGTTCTGCCACAGGAAGGCCAGGAGCTGGACTCACCGTGAGAGTCTGTTTGAGACGCGCGCCATGAGAGCATTTTTAGGTAATGGGAGCTTATCCCCGCTACCCCCCCTTGGCGACATGACAACCTAAGCTTAGAACCATTGAATGAGGGAGTAATATAGAGGAGAGAGAGAGAGAGAGAGAGAGAGAGAGAGAGAGAGAGAGAGAGAGAGAGAGAGAGAGGGGGGTGGGGGGTGGGGCAGGAGCGATGGAGGTGGGCCACGCGTTGTCTATTGTCTAGGGGAAAATAGTTGTCACAAACAGGTGGACGTTTTGGGCAGTGTAATTGTAATATAATATAGCTTATGGAAAAATTCAAGGGGAAGTGGAACGTGGTTGTTTAATGTTGTCTTGAACAGGTGGCCGTAGAGCAGGGTTCGACTAAAAGTCGCAATCATCAGCTGATCTTTGCAGCGCAGAGAAAGCGATAAGATTGCTCTGAGTCTTTGAACGTTGGTTTCCGAACTATTTTGTTAAATTAATTTCTTATATCACTTTTGTTCTAAATTGCAAAGCCCCAATCAGATTGAACAATTCACCCAACAATATAATGAGCAGGCCAAGGCCTACAGCCGATTAGATCTATGTGTTGAAGATCTTCATACGGAAGCGCGCACTCAAAAGTAAACACACCCACTCGTCATAGCTCGAGTGACGTGTTTTACATTGTAATGTAGTGTAGCCTAGTATCTAGCAGTTTAGAATATAACACAGGGGGCCGCTTTGACCAAAGAAACAAGCTGGTAAAATAATTTTAAGGAGGAACTGATCTAATTATGGCATCACTTCTTTCAAGTTTGGATAAATCAGACTGTATTCTGGTAAAATAGTGGCCTCAGTTTTACAATCAGTCCAATGTCTTCTCGAGACCTAAATGACATCACGAATGAATCATCGCCTCATGAAACTTTTCAGAGCGATTGCGCATGCGCAAATATTTTCAGATACGGGCTACTGTTGATTCCAACATGGCGCCCATCAGTGAGAAGGAAGACAGGATGGGCAATCTAGACGGCGAAAACAATTCCGAAGATGCGGATAATTTATGGTATGTGGAGTTTGTTAACTTCACATCTAGATTTACTTACTTGCATTACATTAAGATTGCATAAACCTGGCTAGGGTATCAAGGTTTCTTATTGTGCATTATGTACTGGTGAGGGTACCCAGATTTCACTGTTCATGAATGATAATAATCGGCTTCTCCGGCTAAACCTGCCGTTATTTAGTGTTACTGCAGCTAGCAGACGATAGTCGTTGATCGAACCTGATGCCATCAGATGAAAGATAAACAAAGTAATGCCGCTCTTTTTGGTTGTGCAGTATGGGGTGAGTTTCCCAGAGACCAGGATTGTCTTGAACAGGAAATAGAACTTCAATGAATGTTGGCAGTGAAGCTGGATAAAATGAAGGCTTGGAATCTAGCAGACAGACTGTAAACAAACTCTGTCAAGTGATCTTCATTTCATTTTCATCCCTCAACCTCCAACCCCACTGTCCCAGCTGTATTCATTCTATTCCCAATACTTGAATTATGAGTACACTCCAGGGTGGGAGTGTGTTTTAGTTTTAGTGTGCATGTTGACTGAAGTCTTGGTGTATACAAACTGGGGTGAAGTGAAGGTGACTGGTAGTGCTGGGTCGTGGGTGGGGCACGGAAGTAGTCAATTAGTAGATTCTAGGGGCCTAGGCCTACCTTGTGGGTTTTTAAAAATTCTTTGTTAGATCTACATTGCTTTTTCTTGTAAGAAAAAAATGAAATGCATAAAAAAGCAGAACCTGGCTTAAATTTGTATTTGCTGCAGGCTAACTGCAGTTACCGATTGCAGCTAATGATGTACGTGCAGTGCTTGGATAGGCCTACTGTACTGTAAATAATGCGACGACTTTGAAACACAATTCTTTTTTCTCGATGTTATAATAAAACTAGATCTAGATTAGATAGATCTAGATCTAGATTTTCTTCTACTAATGTGGTCTTTTTTATGAGTTTTGTTTAAATTTTGCATGAAATGCAAACATACACTTAAAACTTGTTCTGTATACAGTTGAACCTGCTGTAACAGTCACCTATCTAGAGGACAATCATCACCTATACAAATTACCTTTTCCCACTTTACCTCATTTTTGCATTTTAAAATTATACTGACACTGTCCTAGACAATGGGTGGCGGATATGTTCGCAGCAAAGACAGTCTTGAAATAGGCCTCTACAACAAAGAAGTGTGGCTGCAGTGTGTATTGTTTTTAGCTGAAAGCATAGTATAGGTATAGGATGTGAAAAGAAGCTGGGTAGCAAGGTTTTGAACAAGGGGGGGGAGTCCCCCTGGAATTTAGATGGCAAATGAAACTCGTGTAAGGAAAATTAGTTAAATTTCATGAATTTTTACTATTTAGGCAAGTGGTACTTTTGTAAGGATAACAAATATAATAGTTTCGTTTGTTTTAAAAAATGAAACTTGTCTTCTGAATTTGATCACTTAGACTTCTATTTTCAAACTACATACATGCCCACTGCATGTCTTCTTAAAACTAGATCTGCTGGGGAGCAGCAAAATGCTGTGGTCAGCAAATTTAGCCGATAATGGTAGCATGTTTTTATTGAAATGAACAGTGAACACTTCACGGGGAAAACTGTTACAGGATTTTTCTTTTTTTCGAAGTCAAGAACTGTATTCTTTTGATCTTTTACCCAATTTATGAACTCTTTCACTCGATTTTGAGCACATTTTTCATTTTCAGGAAAAATTTTGGAGTGAAAATTTTACTTGTCAATGCGGCCTCGTGGGTAAACCACCCAGAGTATCGAGGACTATATTGTTATGTCATGCATCAATTCAAACTGCATGCCGAAGCTGTAAATAAAGGAATCACGAATGCATGACTTGTCTTTTGTTTTGAAAAAATAATGGAAGATGATTTAAGGAGAAAAATGATAGCATTTGTCTGTGGTTGCAGGTTTACCAAGAGCATCTCCGTGGTTAAAGATTTAGCCCTTGAGATAATTATGTATGTCTTGTCCTTGTTAACTAAACGGTTTGGAAGAATTAATGGTCGCTTTTAAGCTGTGAAGATAAAGTTTTTGCCCCTTGTTCAGTTTCTTTTTAGAATGGAGAGTTTTCTCTATAACCAAACAAATATATACACACCAATGAAACCAAACTTCTCCTAAGGTAGCACAATGTCCGCTTAATGGTGTAGGTTAAGATTTCTGGAAACCCCCAAAATCTGGGTTAGCCCGCTTAAAAGCGACCATGTAAGGAGGAAAAACTGATAATGAATGCTGACAGCATTCGTCTGTTAGGGTATTCAGAATCCATCTTTGTGAGAATTTACACCCACATGTTTTTTAAAATGATGTTAAAGTATCCTTTCTAAAAAGATGGGGAAATGAATTGTTTTCCTGATTTTTTCAAAATAGAATTTAGAAAATATGTGTCTAATTTAATGAAACTGTTATAATCTCTTTGTGCTGAAATTTACTTTAAAAAACCTACTTTTTAACTGCTGTGCTGTTGCAAAAGACAGCGAAGGCTAAAGTGGAAAGCACAAGTTTGGTAAACAACTTGTATCCAGTAGTATTAACATTTATTGTAAGGCCAGTCGTGTTGCAATTAGATTTAGATACATATCGGGCTCAAGATACTTTAACAAAAACTCTTGCACTTACAAAAGTTCAAAGTGAAAAAAAAAATGCTGAAATCAAAAGATATGTGAAAATGTGCTCTTAAAATATTTTAGCCCTTGCATGCATAGGTTTTTGTTTGATAGCTGGGTTTTTATTTGTGATTGATTTTTTTTTTTTCACTCCATGCAGCATTTATTTGATTTTCACTGATAATATGATATTTTTAAAAAGATTTAATGTCCACTCTATATTTCAGGGCTGACATACTGACTGATGTTCAATCGGGCTCTGCTTCCAAGCTCCCAACAACAAGATCAGTTCTTGTTTTGGGTAAGTAAAAGACAGTACGGATAGCTCGGTTTTGTGAGGACCGGCCTCGGTAGTTTGAGAGAACTGTAGTTTAAGGGATATCTTACAAAGATAGAGGAAGATAAAAGACCACAGACACGGTTTGACGGATGCATGATTTCGAGTCATCTGTGTTCAACCAATCCGTGTTGTACTGTAATATTAACTTTCAGTTCATTATTCTGTACAACTTTCCGCCACTCTGATCATGAGATCTTTGACACTTTGAATTTTGTTTTTATTTTTACGATTTAAGGTTATTGACACAATTAGAAAATTCTCAGTAAGATGTCAAAAAGAGGTACATCTACTATTTCACAGAAGAAACAAAATGTTGGCTAACTGACTTAGTATTTAACAGCATCTATGTGATCAGGGGATACACAGCTGTTGTGAGAATAGGTTTTTCATGTTTGGGCTAATAGAATTTCTGTTTCTCTTTTAAGTTGCGGAGAAGTGTGATTCTCCAGAAAATTGCTGCAAATATAAAAGATGTTTGTGGATTAAACTGACAGATGACAATTTGAGACAGGTTGATTACTAGTGGAAGTAAAGACCAGATGATACACAAGTCAGTTCTTCTTGTTTTTCATCAGTTTGATTTTATTTATTCACAGGGGACAATGAGTCGGGCAAGACCACATTGATTGCTAAGCTGCAAGGACTTGAGGAGCCAAAGAAAGGCTCTGGTCTGGAATACTACTATATTGATGTCAAAGATGAATACAGAGATGGTGGGTTGAATAAGTGCCTCAAAGATAATGTTCAATGCTGTATAAATGTATGTTTCTGCTGTTTATTATTTATCTAAATAGTATCTTAGGTATAATGTGTATTATGTGGAAGAACTCTTACTTACTGTACTGTTTTTAAAATCCTTTAAAAATAAAACAGGTTTTTTTATTGCTATATTACCACTTTCACTTTTCACTCCTGGCCTAATCGTTATAATACTGGGTACAGCTTGTCAAGATGACCACCACCCCAACAAGGCATGATGAAGGGAATATTTGGGGGGGGGGGGGGGGGGGGGTATGAATGCAATTAATACTGTGTTTTCTTGTTCTGTGAATCACGTTCACCTGATCCTTTTTTAAAATCAGTACGTTAGTTGTTTCTTTGACATGGTCAAGTCTTTAGACCAATGGGTGCGAGCGCTGTAAAACCTCTATTAATAACTAAAACTAAACTAAGACCGATGGGTGCCTTAAAGGGTTAAAAGTATAGAGAAGGTTACTGTATTTCCAAAGGGTCAAATGTGAATCACTCATGACAGTGAGCGTACACAGCCATAATGGTATAATTGTTTTTACGGAAAAAACTGACAGACTTTGTTGTTTGTTTTTTTTACTGAACCTCAGCTATACCTTCTTTTTCAAAATTGTGTCTATGGTGTAATAAAACATATACTCAAGCAATTTCTTTTTTAGCATAGCTTGTTTAAATCTTCTCTGATTATTTTCTCCACTTCTGTCCTTGTGTCTACTATCTATGTGTGTTGTTGTGACATGTCATGTGGAAAGGAATATTATTATTTTTTCAGTGGGTGGTTGGTGGGTGCTCTGGTGTGGTTTGCTTCTTCTTTCCTTTCAAACATCTATCGTCCTTATCTCCCCTTCTTCTTTTTTATTTTTGTTACTCTCTTGTAACGGCTCTAATCTTCTGGCGCTCATATGACCTAATGCAGTTGCGAGTGCCGTAAAACCTGTACTAAAACTAAACGTATTATTTTTTCAGAACAATCACGGCTTAACGTGTGGGTACTTGATGGAGACCCTCACCACACAGGCTTGTTGAAGTATGCTCTGAAAGAAGACAATTTCAGTGACACCTTGGTCATGCTGGTGGTGTCTATGGCGCAGCCATGGTCTTTGCTGGAGACGCTGAACAAATGGGCAGAAGTGCTCAGTGACCATGTGGACAAACTGCGGATACCTGCTGAGAAAATGCAGGAATACGAGCAGAGCTGTGAGTTACTTTTCTTACTTAGTTATTTCATTTTTAATGGTTTTGTTGAAAAGAATGGGGCTGTTTGTGTCTTGTGAGCACTACAGTGATATGGTCTCCCTCTTCTACTTCTTTTTACAGTTGCTATTGTACAAATTTTCTCTTGATGGAAGGTGGCTGTTGTGCTGAATTGCTGTGCACTACCACCTGCAATAACAATAAGGGCCCAACTTTTCACAGCCATTGATTTGAAGAATGGATTGTTATTGTGTGTTAAATGTAGAAGTTTTTTTATTTATACTATAAGATACTTAGGATAAAAAGTAAGTCGAAGTTTTCCTCTAGAGTACTTTGAGCCGAAGGCAGGGTTTTCTTTTCCGTGAGTTCCGAGGTTGCTGTGGGCATTTTCAAGCTGAATAAAATTTCTCATACAGGGATTTATAAATTTGGGATTCAACACCAAACTACATATTGTTCATTTTTTGGGGTATTTTTAGAGGTAGTGGTAATTTGAAATTTTGGGCCTCAATACAAGGGCAGCTGGACTCCAGTTGATGTATTCTTTGTGAACAATCATTCTGCTTATACAAGGCTAGTTCAAGCCTCAGATTGGTCTGACATTGTGTTCTTGGGAAAGGCACTTTGACAAATTTCCCATTTGGCTAGGTCCTTTAGGAGATGGATGTTAAACTTAATCTCTTAAATAACCTACTAGTGTTGATAGTTTAAACCTATACCATTTAACCATTTTTTATTCAAGGTTCAGAATTTATATTTATTTGAACAAGGAGAATCAGGTGCCTTAGCTTGGTGCCTTGACAATGATCTGTTGTGTCTTGTAAGACAATGAATCAAAAGTCCAGGTACTGTTTCTGTCCTGGTCAGACATTCTGCAGCTTGCTAGTAGTATAACCATATGCTTTTGTCACTATTGTATCCCGTCAAAATATTTTGCTCTTATGAATATGAGCAATTTTCAGATCATTTACTTGAAAAAAGTTGCAACAAGACTTACATTTTCAAAGACTCAGTACATTTCAGAATAAAAAGGGGAGATCATTTTACTGATCGTGGCCCTGACCATGATTTACCATGGAAGATATCCCTGATGAATGGATTATGATCCGATTCACCGAAGATCCCTCAGTTTCTTTGCTTGCAAGCACAGGGATATTTTGGGGAGACTACTATACAACACTTGCCCATGGAAGGGAAGAAATAATATAATCCATCACAGAGAGTGACACGTTCTTCATGTAGCATGGTGACATTTTTTTTGGGGGGGTAAGTGTTTTATGGCGCTCGCAACTGCATAAGATCATATGAGTGAGCGGAACACGCCAAACAGTTTTCAGTTGGTAAGAAATTTTGATTCTTGCCTGGGTGGTGGCTGAAGCCTACTCTTATCAATTTTGGGCCACCAAGGGATCTTTAATGTGCGCAACTTGCACACTGAACCTTTTGTCCGATTTTCTTAAATGAAAATGCAAAGCTTGCAAGCGCAATTCATGTTGGAATACACTAATGTTGTTGCATTGAAACTGTGCCAGGTTTTCATTCTTGTTATCAACATGAAGAGGTTGTGAGCACTAGATCGAAACACTTGTGACTGATGGCGTACAAGGTGACACATCTGTCCACCCTTTTTGACCCCTTTGATTTTATATAATATATAAGCATATATGTCAAAATTACAACTGGAATGTTTTAATTTAATTTGAGTATATAGGAGTATCTGATCAATTGTTTTGAAATTAATGACTCAAAAGAAGCATACTGTATTACACAACTAAGATAAACACAATAAATACAGTTCATTCCAAAATCATAGATGTTCGTTTGTAGTTGTGGATCTTGGTCAAGTTCCTGTCAAACAATATATATATTGTTATTTGTCCATCTTTTATTTGAAAAAGCTGATTTTGTCCAAGTTTTTCTGTCATTTTGTTAGTCGTGGTGGAGGAAAAGAGGCACTCCAGCTGAATGACTCATGTGTTGCAGTAGTAAAAACTTTTTTTTTGTTCTGTCTGTATTCGGCTTTCCATTTTATGGCTGTACTGTATTGATTTATTGAAGAAAACCAAAGTTTGGAATAAGAGTTATACAGTTGTCACATTATAATCAGTTTGAGGTTCATCTGTGTAAGTGCTGTGTTTTCACATGATCGGTTAGATGGCTTCATATTAGATGCTTGATTGAAGAGATTTCTTTTTCTTTCTTTTTTTTTTGTGGGTTCAAGTTGAGTCGCAATCTCTACTTTTCTGTGCGTAAGTGTGATGAATACTTTTTTTTGGCATACTCATGGGGTAGTTTTCAGCAAATAATTATTGCACTATTGATTTTTGTTGTGGGAAAAGGACGCAACAGTTTGTGCTCAGTGCGTTGATTGCTCAGCTAAAAAGATCAGTGGGTCAATATTTGTAACATATGTGCTTGCCTGCTGGACAAAGTCAGAAACTCATTGTTCTGCTGACTTTTCCGTCTCATGTTCACCGAGTGCATACATGGAAAAGAGAGGGGATATGTGGAAAAACGATGTGTTCTGCATCGCAGTAACATTCATCAATAATTTCCTTGTGAATTTTCAATATTGGTTGTTGTGTTCTTTACTGGATTCAGGGTTGTATTGATTTTTTGTAGGGTTCTCTTTCTGAAATAAGCCTCAATGAAGTTATCAGTCCTGAAAGATTGTGTGAAGTTTTTGTTGGAACAATTTTTATTTTTAAATTATTCTCCTTTTGGAAAGGCAAAAAAGAAAAAAAATGGCATGGTCATTAATGAGCAAATTAAAATCTCAGTTGCAGAATTTATGAGGTATGAGCTCGTGAAAGTGCACAAATAGTTATACTTTAAAACTCTTAAACTGTCAGGCAAGAAAGGTTATTTTACTAGTTTTTGTTCCCGCAGTAAAGAGAAAAGTTTGGAAACTTTGATTTGTTGTTTGGGAAAATTATTTTGAAAGATAAATTGTAAATGTTTTAGCTTTGTCTCCAGTGACTGAATAGATGAAATATTCTAGAAATGGTACTCTCTTATTTTTATTCTTTCGACTGTGGTACCGTGGTGTGTTTGTGACAAGCCTAGCCCTGGTCTTTCTAAAAGAAAAATGATGTTGGCTGAAATGTCATTGCAGCTGTTTTTGCTCAAACTTCCTTTATAACCCTTCACTCTGTCACTCTGTATAGATTATGGTTGATGGGTCGTTATCTGCTCCCTCTGTTGTTGTTTTTTTCACTATTATTACTCTTGTTGCAGGTGGTTTGGTTTGGGGACTCCACTGGTAGCTTTCTCCTACCTCTACTTCTGTGTCACCACTCTGTTGTTAGTCGTTCTTGTTGTTATGCTGGAATATGTTTCTCTTTCATTTATGCAAATTGTTTTTGCTCTTTTGTGTGACTGTTTTCAAGTTACTGTTTTTGGATCAATTCATTACTGTTTTCAAGTTACTGTTTTTGGATCAATTCATTGGAAACTACAACTCAGCCTACCGTCTTTCTTTTTCTTTTTCCGTTCTACATTCCTTCCATTATGTTCTATTTTCTTCTCTGTATTGTTGCAGTGGTGAGAGTGTACCAAGGTTACACAGAACCCGGCGACGGCCCAATAGCCACTCAGGGACCTCCAAGAGGAGAGGTCAATCCTCTTCATCCGCCTGCTGCAAGTTCGGAGGAAGAGGCTACTCTGCCTTTAGGAGAGCTTACACTATCGCGCAACTTAGGAATACCCATTGTAGTAGTAGTAACAAAGGTGAGTCCAACAACAGGTCTTTCCTTTGTCTGGTATGGGAGGTCGGGGGGGGGGGGGGGGGGGGGTGAATTCAGATGCTGTAAGTTAAGCTGCAAACTACTTGGCTCATAGTGGTAAGATTGTGAGGTCAATTCCTGGCTTTGCTCAATAAAATTGTTGTATTCTTTATCAGGATTTTTGACACTAATAATAGATAATAGATAGCATTTGTATAGCACAAATCCCCTCTCAACGGCAAGCTCTATGCGCTTCACAATCTATACTATTACCCAGCAGACCTGATAGCATTCTGAAACAAACTCAACTTCCTGAGAAGCATACAGTGCAAGCAGCCATTTATAGGCGCTAAAACACTAACATACTGACAAGATCTTTCGCTGTCTATGGCCAGGTACCCATTTTCACCTGGGTGAAGTGAGGATAATTTGTGTAAAGTGCCTTTCCCCAAGGACACAAAGTCGGGCCCGCGGCTCAAACCCCCGTCCCCGCAACCTCATGATTACGAGTCCGGTAGCATAACCACTAGGCCACAGACGCCACTATTGTCATTGTTCCTTTCAAATGCTTTCGTTATTGTTGGAAAGGAATTGCAATGAAATGAAATATTGTAATTGCTGCTTCAGGCTCCGTCTGTATATATACTTTTATGGCTTTTTTCTGTTGTGTTGTTAATTTTCCCAACTCAACCCTCCTGTTCATAGTAAGTGAACAAACTAAATACGAATGTCTCTTAAATTTGTTTTTTTATGCCATCTTGTTGACTTGCTTTGAAAATATGTTTTTTGTGTTATCTTTGTAAATTTTGTTTTCTTATTTCATATTCTCTTTTCAGAGTGACGCAATCTCCATGTTGGAAAAGGAGCTAGATTTTAAAGATGAACATCTAGATTTCATTCAACAACATATTAGAAAGTTCTGCTTGAAGTGTATCCTTTTCTTGTGAATCTGATATTTTTAAAAAAACCCTTGCCTGCTCTGTGGGCGTACCTGGTAAGCCCTGACTATTCCCTCCCGTGTGCACTGTGGGCGTACCTGGTAAGCCCTGACTATTCCCTCCTGTGTGCACTGTGGGCGTACCTGGTAAGCCCTGACTATTCCCTCCTGTGTGCACTGTGGGCGTACCTGGTAAGCCCTGACTATTCCCTCCTGTGTGCACTTTGGGCGCACCTGGTACGCCTGAAAAACTTCACTTCTACACAGTTTTGAATAACAAGAGTTACATCCCTGTATTCTCTGTCCACTTGCCGATGTGGTCATGTCTATATTTAGGTTATTAGTCCTGGGATTCGCATGTGGTAGCTAAAACAAAGAGACACGGTGTGTAGTGTGTTGTGTGCAAATGACAAAGTCAGTCTGCCTCTCTGAGGTTTTTGCCTGCTGTCTACATTTGCCACGGTGGCTTCGCAGGTTGATTAGGTCTACAGATCAGGTTATTGCAGAAATTTTGCGAGATGCAGACAGTGATGACAGATTTCAGTTCATCTGAAGAAAGTTGTCACAGATCTTATCTCCAAAATGACTGGGATCTCAAATACAGAGATGGGATTTTTTAAAAATCTCACTTTCACCTGCCAAATTCTTCTACAGAATACTTATACCTAAAAATGATTAACACTTATGGAGTGTATGTTCATTTCTATTTTATTTGATATAGACTTTGTTGTGTCTAGTGCTTATAGTAAGCAAGCGATAGTCATTCAACAAGCAGACCGTGTCATACACGGCCACTGTGGAAATTTCCTTAGCACAGGCGGTGGACTTATGGTTAGCAGTCAAGGGGTTACGGTCATATAAGTGTCATAAATATTATGAACAGCAAATGGTCTTGAATTATTTTTTTCTAATTGCAAAAGGGGGTAAAAGAGCAGCTGCATTGCTTGGGATTAATTTACAGTACTTTCTGTTTGCTAATGATTTCGAATTGAGAAATAAATATAAAGTCTTTCCAACTGGTTATCTGAAGCCTCGGTCTTAGGTTGGTTCTTCTGTGCTCAATTTCCTTTCCATTCAATAAAGTACGAAGTCCTGGTGAGTTTTTGTTTGTATCTTGACCAGGTTTTTACATAGAACAAAATTGTAAGGCAAAAATTACTTTCCACCTAGTTTGTTACGGACGAGGTTTTTATGTAGAAGAGAATTGTCAGGTCTCTTTAATTATATATCAGGGATGATTTTATTATTCAACTTTCATTTAATTTTTCTTTAAAAAATGCTACTATTAACAGGGAGCTGTTCATGTACGCTTTTGTATGAGTTGCTGCTTCTTTTAAGTACTGCTGTGGTTACAATCCATCCTGGTGAACATGTTGTCATTGCCTTGTAGGCTTACTACAAACACTCACTGACTCACTGTTGAACACTTTATTGAGAGGAGTACGTTCCTTTCCTTAACTGCAATACAAGATGGTGCTGCTATGTTTTACACATCTGTGAAAGATGAAAGGAACTGTGATTTGTTGTACAGATACCTGGTCCACAGGATATACGGCTTTCCCTTCACATCGCCTGCCCTGGTTGTGGACAAAGATTCAGTGTTTGTGTGAGTTTCTTTGTTTAATGCTGTGAGTTTCTTTGTTTAATGCTGTGAGTTTCTTTGTTTAATGCAGTCTAATGAAATCTCTAACTGAGCTCCTCAGCATATATTATGATGTGGAGGTTTATAATTGTTTATCCTGGACAGCATAGTTTTTTTAGATGCAAAGATTGCCGTCTTACAAAATGTGAACTCACATGTCCTTGTCCCTGAAACTTAAATGCACAGCACATACAGGTGGACAAGGATTTCTCAAACATGTTGGGTACCGACAAATGTGTATGACACATCCATGACTCGGGTAAGCCGATGAAATGAGAAATTACAAAGATATATTTAAGAAAATAAGTGTGTATCTTCAATCATATATCAAAGATGAAAATGAAATGGAAAGATGAAATTAAGATTACCGGCAGGTTTGACTGAGCTTTGCCATTTAGGATTTTGTCTTTTTTTCATCTTGTGGACATGGTACTCGCTGTCCAGTTAAGGTTTTCAAAACCTTGCATATTAACACCAGTTTTATTTCTGTGTGTGCTCACCATCCTGAATTCAACCGTGTAAAAGTTCAGTATAGTTTTCTTCCATCTTCACTAATGTGTACTTGTTTAACTTGGCCATACTTGTCTATTTCATTTATGCTTAGATTTGTTATCTTCTTTTCAGGCCATCAGGGTGGGATAATGAGAAGAAAATAAGCATCCTGTATGAGGGCTTGTCATCCATGAAACCAGAAGATGCTTTCGAACAAGTTATCTCAAAACCACCGACAAGAAAAGTAAGAACTGTTATGGGTATTTTACTGGGTTAGACTTGATTGCAATTAGTGCAAGTGTTCGCACATAATAAATACTGTTTGATTGTTTGATGTTGAATTACTTGTCTGATTGGAGTTCTGTTCTAACGTAGTGATTGCATTGGTATCAAGTATAATCAAGTAGAATTTTTTTTTAAAAACCTTCTACCATCGTTTGATTGCTCCTTTCTTGTCCCTTTTTAGTTTGATTAATCGAACAAGATGTGTGTGTTTGTGCGGCGCATAAGGGGGGGGGGGGGGGGGGGGATTCGGGGATTCTTTAATGTCCTACCAATTGTCTGAGTGTTGACAAGAAGACCAGACTTCTTTTTTTCTGCAGAGCTTTGCAGGTAAAAGAATATTGCTACCTTTATCAAGTACTCCCCTCTCTATTGTTACTTTTCCCCTTTTCCTCCGATGTGATCAAATGCTGCTTTGGCAAACTACCAAAAATTTAACTGTTATTAAATGGCTGGGGTTGCTTCGTCTTTTTGCGTCTGAAATATTTCTCTGTTCAGAAATGAGACCATTCTTCATTCCATCTCAGGTCGTCCAGCGTGATGCTGAGGTCAGCGCTGAGGATGAACAGGTGTTCCTCATGAAACAGCAGTCACAACTAGCTAAACAGCCTGCCCCAGGAACCTCTCCTGCCGTGAGTTTTATGTCATTTTCATTAGTCGAGCTTCGGAATGGACATTCTAATGAAATGAAAGAAGCTTTAATTTATTGATTTTGAAAAGTGGACACTTTGTTTTTCATTATTAATACTCCTTCATTTCTTTGCGCCGTAATGGCAATAATAGAAATGTTTTATTGATTGTGAATAGTGGATACTGTCTGTTTTTTGTTTATTATTGCTCCTTCATTTTTTTTACTCAGGAGTAGAAATATTTTTACATATTTGTCCAGGATGCAGTGCAACATGATTGGAACATTCAGGGTATAGAAGGTCTTTATTTTCAATGTTATGAAAACACATTATTATTATTATTATTATTATTTGAAAGTATAATTTTTTAATGATCAGGCTTTGTTGTTCCTTGGCAGTGTATAGTTACAAACATTTTTTAAGCTTGATGAAAGTTTTGCTTTTGCTTATTCTTTTTTGCTAAAACTAAAACCCCACGTATTTTCACTTTTTTTCTGCTTATGCTTGATTTATTATTTTTTTCTTTTAATGTTCTTGAGATATTTTAACAAATGTCAGAGTTAGAAGGTTCTGAGTGCACCCTGCAGTTACTGAGAAAGTAATGTTATGTTTTATTAATTTTTGTTGATATATTGTTGGTTGGATTTTTAGCATCAGTTACACACCC